ACTCAGTAGCATTGCGTGACATTAAGAGGGGCAGTGGAAACCATGTGTCCAAGAGCTGCTGCCCACTCTGCGTCTGGAAAACAAGGCAAGCTGGAATGTGGCCAGGAGAGCAGGGCTAGCGCTGTCCTCGGCATGGGAAACACTGCTCAGCTCCCTGAGACCTGCAATCCAGCTCGCTTTGGCCTGTCCAGCCGGGATGCCAACATGGTTCCAGCATCCTGGAGCAGGAGATGTCCCCACCACCAAAAGCCACGTCCTGCCCCACTCTCCTGGGAAGCTGCTGGAGAGCTGGGAGGATCCGTGCACTGCTGAGGCACCCAGATCCACTCGATACGCCAGCAACTGAACGTGTCGCTGCAGATCACTGGGAGCAGAGAGCCCCAGGACCTCCCAGCTCCGTGCTCGGAGCGCGTGGGGCACCGAGGAGCCCTGCCAGGAGGAAACCACTGGACCCGCTTGGTGCAACCCGGCCCCAGAGCCTCTTCCCTCCCACCCGCCCCATGGCCTCGGTGCTTCCCTGCACTCCAAAGACACTCAGAAACCCCCCTGCAGGAGTGATCCCGGCCAGGCCCTCAGCTGGATTGAACCCAGGCAACGCTGTGTCCGCGTCTGCTTCCCAAGGGAAACGTCCCGGTGCTCCCGATGTCGCAGCTTCCCCGTGCGCAGCGAGGGAGAGCCGGGAGCCAGACGCGCGGCTTAGACTCCCCAGGAAAGGTTCAGTGAGAAAGGGAAAAATTCCCATTTTAAGCTCCCTCAAACACATTTTCAACTCGATTTCCTCCGGCAATCGTGATGAATTCCTGGATCCCACCTGAGATGTTTCCCTGAAAACTTCCTTTTCTCTAAACCCCAGCTCCTCACAGCAGCGTGCTGGCCATTCTCTTTAGGACACGCAGCTGCTCCCAGGGAAAAGGGAAACCAGGGATCGCCAGACACTTCCCGGAGCGCTGCCACATGACGCTGGGCGCTCCGAGGGCGCTGAGCAAAGCTCAAAGTCCCGGCGCCCCGCAGGCCCGCAGCCAAACCCCAAACTTTGCCACCCTCTGGCTGGGGCTCACACTGCAGGGGAGGGAGAAGGACCAGCAGGAGGAGAAAAAGGGGGGAAATGGGGATCGGTGCTCCCAGTGGGAGGGACTCACCGCAGGAGAGGATGAAGTTGGGTGACGTGAGCATGATGAAGGGGAAGGTCTGCAGGAGGCCGAAGTAGACGAGGTTGGTGAAGAGCCCCACGGCCACCATGAAGCCGGGGAAGCGCTCGAACACGTAGAGGCCGGCGAGCACGGCCGTGGAGAGCTGTGGGGCAGAGAGCAGCTCAGCGCGGCGCCCGGGCACCCCCGCGTCCCGGGGCGCCCCGGGGATGGCACCGCCACGGCCCCCCTGCCACTCACCCCGATGAGGTACTTGAT